CTCCTCCTCTTCTTCCACCTCATCCTCATCTATCTCCATGGCTTGACTTAAGTATTCCTCTTAACCTCTAGGTAGAGGCTTATAAAGATTTATGGCATTAAATCTTCCCAGTATCATCTGGCAACTTTAAAAAATATTTCCAGACCTTCAGGTTTGATTTTTAAAAATTGCTCCAAGCAATATAGACAGGTGCCAGAACCACTGTTCTAGAGCAAGCTTGGGCAAGTGGCAGAATGGCCCAGCTGGTGAAAACACAGGGAGTGATCAGCCTCCATCTTAATTTACCACATCTGCAGTAAGTCCTAAGAATTTGCATTTCCAAGTTCGAGGGTGATGCTCACTCAGGCCACACTTTATGAACCACATCTAGGTTAAGCCTCTTGAACATCAGGACCCCCTGACCTTTCAACTCCAGTGCTGAGCAGTGACTAGCACATGTTACTGAACAAACATCATCAGAAAGTGCTCTAAGAAGTGATATGAATTAAGAGCAAAGCCCACAATGATCACCTTTTTCTAAGTGTAAGTTTGTAATTCTACTTAAGTCTCACAGTGATGCTCCATGTGCAACACTAAATCTCACTTGCCAGATTAGTGGTGAAAGATTCAGAAGTGCTGAACTGATGGGTGAGAGCAATATCAATTTTATTTATTTATTTATGTATTTATTTATTTATTTAAGGAAGACTGCCTCTCCTATTGTTTGGCTGGCTGGTTGGCCAGCTGGTTTTTCTCCTGGAAGTAACGAGAGGTACATGTCTAGCACATAAGAGCACGGAAGAAGATAATCTTTTGTCTAAGTGTGCTTTAAACTGGAAACAATGATTTACTGTTAACACTGAATATGCTCAAAATTCATGGAGGATTTGCATTGCCAGCTTCTAATCACTTCTCAGCAGAGCCCCCCAAATTGCTACAGTCCATGGATACAAGATGCGAGATTGTCATCTGAGATTTGCCACATCAGGGCTTCATCAAAATGCAAAATCAACACCTTCCCTTTCTCTCTTCCTACCCCAGATGATTTCTGAATTTCTGTACATTTGTGAATTCACAGAAGCATGAACAGAATGACAGGAACATCACAAATGCAAATGTCTTTGTTCCTAACAAATTACTTCAGTTGCCCTTCTTTTCTAAGTTAGGGAGTGGGAGGGAATGGGTTACCATGGCTAACTCAATGTTAAGTTTAGAAGCCAGAGGCAAAGTTAACTTAAAGGTTTTCCAAAGTTTTGTTTTCTTTTGGGTCAAAAGTAGCTCTTAAACATATATACACAAACCTCAAGTATTTTTTTCAAATGCTGATTTGTGCTTTAATAAAACTGACATCTGCATCTCTAAAGAAATACTTCACTGTCAGAAGAATGTAGCTTAATTTTGTTTGCTTGAAATGTTTTCATCTCAGACCAAATTTAGAATACCCTGCCACCTGTTTATACCACCAATCTCCAGCAACGCAGCAAAAGCTCACCTCTTCCATCCACTTCCCAGCTGGATCAGACAAGGCAGTGGGGAGATACAAGAGGTTTTTAATTAGCTCCTAACTCCTGTTCATTCTTGAGTGTGCAATCTTTGTGCTTAAAATGCTGCAAAAAAACCCACATCACAATCCCAATGTGCATCAGAGTGCATCTTGCAAATAGAAAAGGTCAGTCATATAAGCAGCAACATTCAAGTTCTTTGAAAGATGCTGAGACACAAAATAATACAAGAGAAGGGTGAGTGATCTATTTTGTAAACCATACCTAGAACTCTTGCTACCTATTTCCATATTTATGAGTGGAGATGTGAATGGTGGCAGAGATAGGGCCACCTAACTCTGTTGTAAGATTCTATTAACATATTTGCAAAAATACTTTTACAACCCTACTGCCTCTTAATGCTTTACCTCCTCAAATCTGTTGAAGCCTAATAGCAAATAAACTTGGCATATACAAAAGTTTCGTTTGTTGTCAGTTGAAAAAAACAGAAACCAACTCAAAATTGCTGAAGTAAAAAAAAAGGGGGCAGTGTTATTAAGACAAGGCATTTTAATGAGATCCAAGGGCAAGAATCTAACCAGGACTCAAAAAGGGACTAGAAACAGAAAACCGAGTGTTAGAAACTCAGGAAGCAGATTTACCTCTCATTCTGGCTGCTTCTTCCTGTGCTATGTTACTCAGGCCCAAGTTATATAATCATCAACATGAAGACAACCTCTATGAAGGAAATGAGCCTAGCTGGACACTCGAACACCCTTAATTCAATTCTTATCAGAAAAGGGTCACTGATTGGTTCCATTATAAACATCCCAGTGGGAGCTCACAGAAGCAAAGACACCATGTGAATGCAAAGATATCCTGAAACAGGAACTATTTTTCACAATGAGGAAGATGCTGTGCCATGTTCTAGTAAGAATAAGATGATGATACAGGAGCACAAGACCTGACCTCCAGCAAGTGCTGCTGCCTAGTGTGTTAAGGGCCAGCCATTCATCACCACCTACCTGTCTGAAAGGTGGTTCCAACATCCTGAGCAGGAGCTGTCTCACTCCTTCAGTACTGTCAGTACCAAGTACACTGGCTTTCTAATGCATTTGTACTCCTTCCTCATTCCAAATGAGAAAATATATGAGCAAGTACTTTGTGAACTGTAAAATAATATATTAATGAAGGAGATTGTTCTAAGAACCTGTCTCAAATACAACGTAACTTGCCTATTCATTTTCTTCTCCAGGTACCTGGATTGTCTTTCACCATAATGGAGCTCCTTTTCAGCATGTATGAAATATCAGAGATGGTAAGCCAAAACAAAACCTCCCATCCATTAAGTACTTATGAGATATTTTATGTAGGCAGCACATGCATTTTGTATTTCTTCGGCCCATTGCCTCCTGAGAGTGCATTTCTGTTATAGTACAGTGGGCTAGAAGTGGAAACCATCAGCTACAATTCCTCTCTGTATCTCATTAGAGGTCTAGTTTCCCCTTAATGCACATGAAGACCTTTCATTAGCAATAATGGGAGCTGCACGCCTCAAAGAGAAAAATAGACCCTCACCATTGTGATCTGAGATGAGGTTATTGGGACACTTGCCTGCCTGACTGGAGAATTATGACATTCAGACATGAATGATTGGATCAGAGAAGAAATTAAAACCTTTGTGATTATTTTAAAAAATGAAATGCAATTTTAAAACCTCAAAATAAAGGGCAAGAATCAAAACCAAAGAATTCATCAGCAGACTGAAATTAGGCGTTAAGTAAGTGAATGCCAAATGACAAGATAAACAAAGGTGGGAAAAGATGACCCAGAGGATTTGAAAAAATAAAAACCATTTCCAATACACACAAAGTAAGACATTGGCAAGAGACCACAGTCCAAGAAGAGAAGGCAAGGATCATTTACCATCAGAGAGGTAAACACTGCCGAAAGTTAAATAAATCCTTGCGTCTATGTCTACAAAGAAATATGGAAGATGCCAGATGGCTGTTTTGGAGACGGTCAATGAAAAAATATTACTGAATAAAAGTGACTCCTGAGTTTATGTTTTTAAGTTGACAAATACCAAGAGCAATATTTTCCTACTGCATCAACTTTAAATAAGGACATTCGTAGAGTGACCATTTTGTATTATTAGAGGTCAGATGAGGATGTTGTAGAGTCCCTTCCCGTTTGTTAAATGTAAAAACATTAATTGGATTAAAGAAGAATATCATCTTTTCTTTAATAGGGCATTAGAGAATTAGAATTTTTTCTTTTTTTAATGAAGAGTGGGGAAAGCACATAGAAGAAACCAAACATATATATGAAACCTATTTAGAAGGACTTCCAGTAAGCCCTAGAGTAAGCACAAATTCATCACATTCTCTACCCTTAATTCATGATGGTTTTAAGGAAAACTTGTAAGACTCTGAGACTGTATTCAATCTTGGACAGTGGGTTGTCCAGGAAATTCAGTGAAAGGATTGAAAAACAAGATGACTAACTCATAATTGATCTCAACATCTAACCTCAGGGAATCAAACTGGGATTCTAGCAAACTAACCCCATGACAACTGAAGTGACGGTTTAACAGCCTCTGAGAACACGGAGGATATAAGTACTCAGGTTAAAAAAAGAAAAAAAAAAAGGTTTGGGATAGATCAAACAATTCCCAAACTCTTCCAAGTTGAGAGTATGGCTCTTGAAAACCATTCCTGCATCCATGGACTATATTCCTAAAATGACCATTGAGGTTTCTGCAGTCATGCTGGGTTCTGCTAGTAGCAATGAGCCAAATGGAATCCATTTATGTAAAAAGTCTCAAGGCAATGGGAATTAGGCCACAGCAGTATACTCCAGTGAACTTAATTTCCCAGCAACTCTGGCCCCCATTCCCCCACACTACCCTGGCCTTGAGTAATTTGGAGATCAACCCCTGTTCCAATCCATCTAAAAGAGGTTTGGAGTCTAATATGGGAATTGCTGTCCACTGCACATGTTCTAACTTCCACACTACAGCACTCCTAGGCTATAAGGATTCAACAACCATGCATCCTTCTCCACCTTCGTCAACAGCAATAGGACCATATCTCCATTCTTCCCTTCACCCCATTTTTACTACCCAAAGTCACCACTCTATAACCTAAGTGAGGAAGGGATTCTGTTGAGATGGCCTGAAGTACTCTCCAAGGTATCACGACTAATATTAATAAGCTCAGAGACAGAATCTGCATCCTGTTTATCTTTGTAATATTGGAAATGCTTGACACATCATAGCTACTTGGTAAATGCTTGTTAAATGAAAAATAGAAAAAGAAGTACATAACTGTCACCAAAAAAAGATGCCCACAGGCTGGGATTGTGATTCAGTGGTAGAGTGCTCATCTAGCACATGTGAGGCCCTGGGTCGATCCTCAGCACCACATAAAAATAAATAAAATATAGGTATTGTTTCCAACTACTTTCAAAAAATTAAAAAAAAAAAAAATTTAAAAGATGCCCAGTGAGAAGGAAAAAAACATAAAAGGACAAATGGTATATTACATAATTTGAGAAATGTTTACTTTACAATTAAAATAAGCATTTTATTTTTCCCCTAAACATAACATTCTGGTATCCATATACCAGAATCAATGCCAACATGGTTTGAAAGAGAAGTTGACAAAAGCTTTCTAAAGGCTGTTACAAAACCATAGCAGTACAATGTAGTAGCATTTTAGAAGATACAAACATTTAAATATGTAGATGCTATGAGAAACATCAAGCTCCATTAATTAATATTAGATAACCATATCTCAACTTCCAAGCTTCCAAAAATAGAAGGAAACTTTTAAGTTTACATTCATATTAAAAGAATAAGGGGATACAACAATCCTACTTCTGGGTACTTACCCAAAATATTTGAAATCAGTATGTTGAGGAGGGATCTGCCCACACATGTTCACTATAGCATTATATGCTATAGCCACATTATGGAATCAATCTAAAAGTCCATGAATGAATGAATGGACAGAGAAAAATGTGGTAAATATACACAATGGAATACTTAACAAAAAAATTCCTTAAAAAAGGAAGAGATCCTATCATTTGCAAACATGAATGGAATCAGTGCACATATGCTTTATAAGATAAAGCAACATAGAAAGACAAATACTACGTGTTCTTACTTGTCTTTGTAATCCAAAACAACTGAACTCAGCAGACTGGTGGTTACCAGAAGCTGAGGAATAGAGAATAGGAAAACCAAAGCCATAGGCACAAAAGTCTCAGTCAGGGATTTTGTTGTTGTTGTTGTTGTTTTAATAGATATTACTCAGTGTGGTGAATCCAGCTAATAGCTGAATATTATATAATTCAATCACCAGAAGGGTGGATCTCAAATGTTCTCCTGTTAAATGTTTAAGGTGACACATTATTGGCTTGATTTGGTCATTTTGCATTGTATTTCACCCTTGTGTCCTATAAATATGAACATTTATAATCTGAGCATATATAAATTTGAAAATGAATTTTAAAAACAGGGCATTTCAAGTAGGCTAAAGCAGGTGTATTCTCTTAGATAGTTTCATTTAAGATTAAGACAATGCTAGGGGCTGGGGAAGTGGCTCAAGTGGTAGTGCGCTCGCCTGGCATACGTGGGGGGCTGGGTTCGATCCTCGGCACCACATGAAAAAATAAAGATGTTGTATCCACTGAAAACTTTTAAAAAAATGCTGTTTTCTAACATTTTGTAAAGTATTATAATGATTATAGGGTTACTATCGAATGTGTTTTATATTCTTAGTTCTTAACACTCAATCTCCCATTTAGTTGTTCTTGCCTTTTTCTCTTAGATAAGTGAATGACTTATTAGACCTAGTACTTGGTTCATGAGATTTTCTCATTTCACCTTGAAAAAAAACAACTGCAAATATGTATAGAAGATGAACCACATGTATTTTTCCCTGAAAGATGTCAGAATATAACACTCAAATCAAATGCTGAACAAAAGCTATTTTGTAAGAATACATACAATATGTGGCAATTTAATTTTCACTGATGTTTTTCTTGGCAGTTTTTCCCACATTCGTAATTTCTAATCAAAAATTACTGAAATCATCCATTAAGCGTGTACTCAGACATTACTGAGTTATAGGAATCTAGACAATCTTAAGGTATCATAAAAAGAATCACAACTTTAAGAAAACATTAATTGAATCAGCTGTAAAAATTACTCTCACACCATGAGAAAAATAGTAATTAAGGTTACATTTGAACCGACTTTCATTCTATTTTTCTCTCTTGAGTGCTTTAACTCTAAAATAAAATTCTGAATCCAGGAAATTAGAATGGAGGGAAATGAACCAATCAGAGTACATAGTCCACAAGGGCAAGAACTATTTCTGGTTTTGTTTATCAATACATTCCCTCTGTTGACTCAGATAAGAAATCATTATAGGTAGGAGTGCAAATCAGGAGAGCCTTTCTTTTTTCCTTTTTTTTTTTGGGGGGGGGGGTTTGTTTTGTTTTGTTTACTGCACTGCTAGGGGGTGAGGCCAGAACCTCCCTCACGCTAGGCAAAGGCTTCACCACTGAGCCCCAACAGCCTCAGCCCCAACAGACTTTTTCTTGAAGGCAATTTAAGTAAAAAGCCTTAAAATTTTATATTCTTGGACCAGTAAATCTGCTTCTATAAATTTATACTAGGAAAATAATTATGTAAGTGAGCAAGTACTTAGAATCTAGAACATTCATGACCCAAGCTTTAAAAAAAAAAAAAAAGCAAGACCCAACAAATAACCCCATAACCTGGATTGCCTAGCATGTGCCTCTTGTCATGAATATATAATGAATACCTGCTATGCACCAACTACTGTCCTACTTGCTGTATCCCAACCTTCAGTGAACTTAATGCTCAGAACCATCCCATAAAGTAATATTTTCATCTCATGTGGATAAGCAACAGAGAAGTTAAACAATTCAATCTAGCTTCATGATCCTATAGCCTTAGTGTTATCTTTAAAACAATGTTGAAAATAAGGATTTCTTAACTTTCCTTACTCTTTATCCATTCCTTTTTTGATAATCTGCCTCAAGAACTGCCATCTGACAGTCTTATAAACGGCACCCCCACCAGCTAGTGTATCTACCTAATTTTGTTACAAAAACATGGGATCTTTAATAATCTTTCAAATATAATATTATATCTTTTTCAATGTACTACTGTCCTACCAATTTCTCCTTCCCCATTCACAACACTTGCTGTTAGCAGAACTGTATTTTGTGTTATGAAAAGATATGAAATCCTAAATATAATAATGTATACAAAATGAATCTCATTTTCTTATAAAACATGGTCCTCTGGTGAAACAATTTTTAAAAAATATTCCTGTGCATATTCTATGAGTATGGAAATGGTTTCTTGAAGAATAAAAAGATAGACTAATGGGAGAAATGAGACAAGTGATCCCATCCCGGAGACAAAGAGTGTCAGGGCAAGTGTATAAAACCTGGGATTCAGGGAAGCATCTGGAAACCAGGAAGTATAAAAATTCACTGCAGGTGCCAGGGTCTCCAGATGGGAGATGGAATAGGCAGCCCCGGACCATGTGGCCAAAATGTAGCACTTGAGAGGAGCAAAGTAGTAGAGCTTGCAGGTCTGAACCTGCTGGAGGACGTGTTTTATCTATGGAAATAGACAACTATAAACAAAGTAAAAACAGGATAGATAAAATATGTGTGAAACCAAATGAACAAGCAGTTGATTCTTTTTTTTTTTTTTAATTTATTATTAGTTAGAAAGACATTATAGCCAAAGACAGCAAGGAATCCTCTGTGCTTTTCAATATGCAAATACAAATTCTTCCAAATGTTGCCCTAGAGTAATCTCAAGTGTCCACGATACTCCTTTTCTGAAAACTTCATTTTCTTAGTTGTTGTATTCTTGAAGAGCCTGGGCCATGAAGAGTTTGCCTAAGTTTTGGGCGGTGAACTCCTTGATGTTCTGGCAGTAAGTATTAATCTGGCCTAAAAATTTGAGAAAGAGTCTTAATGTTCTCCAAGTTGTAAAATGATCTAGAATGCTAGTCAAACAAGAAAATCAGCACAATACAGAATTCACCAGAACTGTTTTTAACCAAGAATTTACAAGAATCAATTCTATTTTTCCATAAAGTTTAATAAAGAACATAATTTCTTTTGAAAAGTTGTTATCTTCAACTCGTGATTAAAATGAAGGAAAACTAACTTTTTTAAAAAGATTATCAGCTGTAAGGATATATTAGCTATCAATCTGCTGAATCAGTACCAGATCTGATCAACAGACAGTACTCTAAGAAATCAGAGAAAATATTACTGCCTTAGCAGGCAGATAGGAGATATATGATCATAGCATGGCAGAGTAGCCACATCCACCTGGTTCAGACATTGAACAGGTACAGCAGTGTACAACCTGCACTTTAGACATGTTTTAAGGTCCTTCCCCTGAGCCAAAAGCAGAAACTCCTCCCTGAAGAATGGCTCTATTACTGTTTTTGCATCTAATCTGATGCAAAAGCTATTCATTTCTTGAAAGTATAAGCACTACAGGTTTGTCTCAATTAGGCCTCAAAGAACTATATCTCAGTTTCCCAAATGTGTGTGTGTACTAGAAAGTTAAGGAATTTGGATTTTTCAACCACTCAAATATCATTATTAATAGAACTGAAAAACTAAGAACAGCTTTACTTTGAGTAGATTTTTCACTCTATTAAAGTTTCTCACAGACAAAAAGACAATTGACTTAAATAGTATCTAACAATATTTTATAAAAATAAGATTATACAGCCATATAAGAGTGTGAATATTACACATTAAAACCAGCCTATGGTTGGGCATGGTGGTACATGCCTATAATACCAGCAGCTAGTGAGGCTGAGGCAGGAGAAGAAAAAGTTTAAGCCAGCCTCAGCAACTTAGCAGGATTCTAAGCAACTTAACAAGATCCTGTCTCAAAATAAAAAATAACAACAGTTGAGGTGGGGATGCAGCTCAATTGTTAAGCACCTCTGTGTTCAATCCATGGTACCCGCCCCATTGACAAAACAAAATAAAAAATAAATCCCAGCCTCTAGCATAAGACATAGACCTTAACCAAAGTGATAGACATATGCTAAGTCTCCTCAGAAGTTCACCCAGAATTATATTCATGTTGCCATGATTTCAAAGGGCAATATTTTCTTCAAATCAAAAACTTCCATTCAAGTACCCCAATCTAAAGTAGAAAATAAAAAGGCACTTGAAGCTACGTGAACCTCTGCATTATTGAGACCATAAAAATTTTTTTCTTCATTTTCATGAAAGATGGAAAAGCTTCCCAATTTAGAAAGCTTGAAAATGTTTAGATATACACCAAGCGAAGAACTGAAAGGACCTGAGAAATAAAATACTTACCAATTCTTAAATTTCAGAAACTATACCTACTAGACTCAAATTCATCTAACTATTTATAAAATACATTAGCTTTCATGTGCTATGTTTCTGTCTGTAAAATTTCTCATAGTCTTCTGCTTCCTCAAGAACAGAGAAAACTACATATCACGCTTTACATAACTATACCTGCAATGAGTAGCGAATCCATCCTGGCAGGAGCCTGAAGTGGCTTAAAGAGTTTGGACAGGTCTTCCTCAGGGAGTGGGGGTTCTCCTCGACTCTGACGTTGCATATTCTCCTGCTGACGACGCTGCTGATACTAAAATTTAAAGAAAAATAATTTGATTATTTTTCTCTGAGGGGGGTTAAAAAAAAGAACTCTCTCACACGACCAACAATACCCCATTGCTCTGAATTCTATTCTAAGTTTAATAAATGGCAATATTTAAGAAGCTAAATATGGTAATGGTAGAAGAAAATATATATATATTTATATATTTTTGTTTTAAAATAAACTCCAGTGTCACTGTGAGCTCTAACAGTCTATATGATTTAGAAAACAAAATTGGTTCTGGAAGTAACAGAACTAAAAAGAGGTTCATGATCAGTGATTAAAAGAATACAGCATTCTGGACAAAGGGGAGAAATGGTTCATCCTAACTTTAACAACTAAATAATATACTATCTGCAATTTTATCCCTATTGACATAAAATAATAATAACACCAATGATGTTATTACCATCAAGTTCACCGTCTTTTTTTTTTTTTCCCTTGGTACCAGGGATTGAACTCAGGGCACTCGACCAGTGAGCTACATCCCCAGCCTTTTTTAAAATTTTTGTATTTTATTTAGAGACAAGATCTCACTGAGTTTCTAAGTGCTTCACTGTTGCTGAGGCTGGCTTTGAACTCACAATCCTCCTGCCTCAGCCTCCTGAGCCGCTGGAATTACAGGCATCCACCACCAAGCCTGGCAAGTTGACTGTTTTTACTATTCTTAACAGATGGTCTTGCGTGTTTCAGCTCTGTAGCTAAGAATGAATATTAACTTCAAATACTTTCAAACTCTGCATTCTACAATTCTCTGATAAGAAGGTGAGGATACATATATAGATTCTATAACTATAAACTTATATGTCAAATAATTAAGAGCTAGTTGCTGTGAATGGCTCACAATGCCAGTGAAATAATCTTCCACACACTGTCTTTTAAAAGGTCAGGTAATAAGAAACCAAGGTGGGTTAAGAAAAACTTAAAAGTCTTGAATTCCTATGAAAACCAAAGGCAATGACAGTTTCTCCTGAAGAAGAGGAGTAACTTGCTTTGAAGATTTCTTTCTTATTATGGGGTATGAAAGTGAAGGTGAGATACATCTAAAAAGGGTTATGAAAGATACTAGTAAGTATGAATAAATGTTAAATGCAAAAATCTTAATACATTATAACTCTGAAAAGAGTCCCAAAGATTGGCTTCTAGTATGAATTACCTCATGGGTGACAGATTATCAATTTGATAGCCCAAGTGATTCCCACCCCCAACAACAAAACAGCAAGAGAATACAATCAAACTGGGACATTTCTTTCTCATAGTTTAGAAATCTGCAGCTATGTTCACTTAAAGATACTTTACAGATTTACATATATTTTCTCAATTCAAGTGTAGCAAAATTCATTCATTCATTTTGATTTCCCGACATATATGAACCTGGAAGAAAAATTTGTTTTTCTTTGATTACATAAGTCTCCGAAGCACTCAGCTGTGCTTCGAATTTTACAATTGACAACACTTTGTTTAAAGTGCATTTTAATGAACACAGCAAATATAAATACTACTTCCAGGGATAAAGATTCTGAAATCAACTTATCTATCAATCAAATGCTGAGAACATTTTAGAGCAATACAGTCCCAAAATAATATTCCCGGAACTATGAAAATCATGTGGTCCTAAGGCAATGCTAATAAAGAAAAGGTTAAATGGCCAAAACTATATGTATGTGCATATGAGAATATTCAAGTAATTCTATGATTTTTGTTGGTATTATACTATCTATTTCACAGCAGGTGGTCTATTATTTCCTATCAAAATTGCTTGCTCTTAATCACAACTGCTCAGTTTTTTAAATGAACTGAAGATTGCTAACTATTCTGCAATGAACCACCACCAAACCAATTATAGTTAGAGTAAAGAAATGAACTGTGACACTCTGAAATCTCTTTGCCTCCAGTTTTCTCCATAAATATATATCTTATTTGCATAACCTTTAGCTTAATATATAAGCTCTCTTTAAATCTGGTGTTTTTAATTATAATTTGTAAAATATTATTTACTAAAGAACAATCTTTTAAAATATATGATACAGAGATGTTAACTAACAGTCAATGTTTTTTTTAAATATTTTTTAGTTGTAGGTGGACACAATTCCTTTATTTTATTTTTATGTGGTACTGAGGATTGAACTCAGTGCCTTACGTGTGCCAGGCGAGTGCTTTACCACTGAGCCACAACCCCAGCCCCAACAGTCAATGTTTTACTAGAGATAATTTAGATCATTTTTAAGATGACTTTCTTTCTGATACTGAGGTTGCACCCAAGGTTACTATACCACTGAGCTACATCCCCAATCTTTTTTTTTTTTTTTTGAGAGAGAGTCTCAGTAAATTGCTAGGGTTGGCCTTAAACTTGTAATCCTCCTGCCACAGTCTTCTGAATCTCTGGGATTACAGGTGTGCACCACCACATCCAGCCTTTAAAATGACTATTAAAACATCACACCTAGAAGTCAATGTATATTGATTTTTTCTATAATACCAACCTGATGTTTCTGCTGCTGTTGCTTACTAGTATTCCTCATGTATGTGTTATATTTTACTATGTCTTGGCTCATTTCATCCACTCTGTCCATCAGCAACTGTAGATTCTTCCCCAAATGATTGCTGAAATGAAAAGTAAACACACTGATACATCATACTTTAAGCTATGACTTTGCCACTGTTCTAAATAGTCATATGTTAAAACATGATCTGCCTTTTGCTAAAAGAATTAGAAGCACACATATGCATTAAAGCAAGGGTGGAGGTAAGAATCTGAGTCAGCTTATTATTAAACTTATGTTATCACCCACAACTATAATCTCAGGGCTGTTGGAAATAGCTCAGTTTCTTATTGTTGACAGCAAAAGTAAGTTAAATAGGAACTGTTAAGCATATCTAGTGTGGCATCTATAATATATACTTTCAGAAAACCAAGTTTAACTTGAGTTCAGTACTACTGAACCCTTTTCCTTAACATCCCCACGCCCACCCCCATGTGCCCCAGAGTTTTAAATCAGTAGTCAAGCAAAGAGTCATGCAAACTTATTAAGATTTCTGGCACACCATTTCTTTATCTACCTTATTCTAAATGAGCCACATCATCTGGCTCCTCATCTCTGTTCTTTCCTAGAATCTGTAGTAGTATATAGTCTTTCATACTTTTTATCTCTAGAAATATTGATTCCAGCTCAGTTACTACAATCTTTTCATAAAGTAATGCTAATAATTGATACAATGACCACCTTATTCACCACCTTCTACCTGCCAATATCTCCTATCATGGGCTGGGGATGTGGCTCAAGCGGTAGCGCACTCGCCTGGCATGTGTGCGGCCCAGGTTCGATCCTCAGCACCACATACAAACAAAGATGTTATGTCTGCCGAAAACTAGAAAATAAATATTAAAATTCTCTCTCTCTCTCTGAAACAAAAAATAAATAAATAAAAAAATATTAAAAAAAATATCTCCTATCATGCTAAAGCATGGACATCTACTATGAATGTCTAAAAACAGCCAGCTGACAAACTATAGTGACCAATTCACTACTTTCAAACAGGTATTTACTAAATTATTATGTGCCAGTCTCAGTATTAAAAACCAGGGAGACAATAATGAATGATGCATACATGGTCTTAATCTTCTTTGAAATTACAACTGATTAGAGATAGAGCAGGGCAGGTGGGGAGAAGAAGAGAGACTTCAGATAGCATGGTCAGAATATCTCTTTGAGAAGATGAAGGGCTAAAAGCAAAAGATTAGGAGTTAGCCAGGTTTCAAGTATTCTAGGGAAAAAGTACAAAGGCCAAAGTTCTGAGGTGGACAACAAAAAAGCAGATCTGATTTAATTTAAAAAGTGGGGGAGGGGATGGGAGGAGGGGGGAGAGGGGGAGGAGAGGAGGAGCAGGGAGGCCAGGCATGACTGGAGCACAGTGATTTGGTTAGGGAGGCCAGACAAGCATATATGGAAAGCCCATTAGCACCACACAACTTCACAACAAAGTGGCTTGTATGAATGAGACCACTGAAACATACTGAATGGTACTCTCGAGCTGTGCATGTCTGGGCTTAAATCTTAAAATAATCACTCTGTTGCTATGCATGTAGACTGAAAATACAAGAGCTAAGAGTCTATTGCAGATAAGATATGGAGAAACTGAAACATTCATATGCTATGATGGGGATCTAAAATGATATTACTGCCATGGAAAACAGCTTCATGGTTCCTCAAAAAGCTAGTTACTATTATTAATAGTAACAGACAAATGTGAATGGTGAGAACAGGAGGTCAAGGAAATAAATCTATAAACTGGGCCTACTGTGCTGACTCCATGTGCCCTCATTCAAAAAGCAATTAACCTGTGGCCTTCCTTTAGTCAACAGAATACACTACCTTCCTGGGCAAACAACCTGTTACCTGTAGGAGAAACGCAGACCCAAAAAATCCCTGATAAGGGCACAAGTTACCCTGAAGGAGGTTTCTGTGACCATTATATACACCAAATTCCAGGACCCAAACAGGATAATTAAAAGCCAAGGCCCTAACCATAAAATGTGTAAGAACAAGTTCCAATGAGACCCCTTTAGCAGAGGCCAAAGTGACCCAGAGTTGCCGTGGATCTTTAGCATGTCAACAGCAAAATTTTCCTTCCCCAGGGAAAGGCAATGGGCAATGGGAACTTGAAAGTCTGATGTAAAACCGCTGTTAGTCAAAGGTCAAGGGGTGGAAACTTCTCTAGGATTCCTTAACAAAACTGGAGGGCAGGAGGGGCACACCATCCCTTTCCTCTCTGAGAGGATCCACTCTCTCCCTTGAGATGTCCCCCTTTTCCCTATCCCTTCTAATAAACCCATGCCTACTACTGTGTTTCATTTGAAATCTTTCCAACATTCTCCAACTTTATGACCCAAGCAATTCTCCTGAGTATACACCCAAGAGAGAACTGAAAATATACGCTCACACAAAAATTTGTACATGAATGCTAACAGCTATATTATTACCCTTAAAAAGCACAAAGTAGAAACAACCCAATGTCCATCAAATAAATGATAAGTGAATAAACAAAGGTGGAATATCCATACAATAAAATATTATCGAGCCATAAAAATAGTGAAGTACTGAAGCATACCACAATTTGAATGAACCTGCTAAATATTATGCTAAGGGAAACAAGCCTAGCACAAAAGGCCACTGTAGGGCTCTACTGCCTATAGTCATAAAAAGTATTCTACAATTAGTAATGGTTGCACAACATTGCAAATATACTAAAAAACACTAAGATGCACACTATGCATAGTTAAGTTTATCTCTATTTCAAAAAACTGCACCACCACCACCACCACAACCACCCCAAATCTGTTGTGATGTTCCAGAGTAATGGTGGCTTGCATTGGGACAGTAGCAGTGAGAACAGATGAAAGTGAGTAGAACTGAGAAATACTCTGGAAACACAACTAGTGATTTTTATTTGATAATGAGGTACAAGAGAAGAATCAAGGATGGTGGCCAGTGTCCTGGCTTCAGCAGTCCACTGGCTGGCTGGTTATTACATTCATAGAATAGGGAAAGACAGAGGAGAAAACAGATTGGGAATATTGAAACAGGAAGAAAGTAAATCCACTTAAAATATGGATTCTACCTGTACCCTAAAAAAAAAAAAAAAAAAGTTTGGGTTCTTTCTTAAAGAGCAGAAAAGAGTACAGAACTGGTGTGTAAGTGTGTGTGTAAATTACCTTTTTAATCCCAGTCCGGCAGTACCCAAACAACCTTGGCCCAGTAATTTGGCCTAAAGACTTCACCTGTCTAGGAATCAAATACTTCTTTGGTATTAAATTTTATTTCATATTTCTTATTCCACTGTGATTTTTTTCCAATCATTTTTTATTTTAAAATGTTTCTCCTTCTCTGGAAACCAATTAAGTACTTGTTTCTGTTTTCGAATTTCTTAACAGTCTGATTTTAATCCACCCAGATTCAATTTATTGGGTATATGGTGCAAGATGAGGAATTAAAACGATTTTTTTTCCAGTAGCTAACCAAATATCCAGATCCATTGATTAGACAGTCATACTGCTTTCCCAAATAACTTCAGGATTAAACAATACTGTATCTCACATTCACTCTTTTGGCATGTACTGAGTACACAGTTACTCTCCCAGTCACTCTGCCAGATACTAAGAATTAAACTATATGAGATTTTGTTGCACTCAAAACGTTCTAATGAGAGAGGAAAGTAAAAGTAAATAGATAAATTAAATAATGGTGGTTAAGTGCTCTAGCAGACATTCAGTGGATGCAAAAAGGACAGTTTGGTAGGATCAAGTGAAACTACCCCCACTCCAATTATGTGACAATTAAAGTCTGAATTGTTGAAAAGGAGCTAAGGGTAGCTAGAGATACTGGGTATAAGCAGACCACTCAAGAGACTCCAGCATGAAAGGTGTGATGCATTTAATGAACTGCAAATAACTCAGTATACCAGGGAACTGCTTGACTAGAAAAAAGAGATTTATCAAACTTGGGGGGGGGGGGCGGGGAAGACAACCATAGCACAGGCCCTAGGAAACTTGAATTATAAGTTTGGATTCCATTCTAAGCATTATGAGAATCAGCCAAAGATTTTAAGCAAAGAAGTAATATGAACATCCAATTTGCATTTAGCACAAGCATAAAAAGAGGAAAAGGTTAAAAGCAGGAAGTTAGGGAACTGTGAAAGTAATCACAAAGAGAAATAGTGATGCCTTGGTCTGGGGTAACAAAAAATCATAGAAATAAGATGAAATCACTCCAGGAATGCACATGGGGGAAGATTAACTCTGACAAACACTGATATTTAGGGATGAACAAAAAGAAGAAATCACTGTTTGAAATAAGAAGTAACCCATAAGAGTTGTAGTTTCATAGGCTCCAAAGAATTAATTCCAGGATGAAGGGGTTCTCAATTCTATTAAATGCTGATGAATCTCATGCAGTAGTATGGTGACAAGAAGTTTTTTGTGACAGAGTTCTAACAATAAGGAATGGAAGAACACTGAAAAATGTCAGAGTAAGTGGGAAATGAGGAAAGACAGTGACAGAAAATTCTATTGATGGGGGCTGTAGCTCAGTAGCAGAGCACTTGCTTAGTATGTGTGAGGCACTGGGTTCAGTACTATCTATGTGAAAGGTTCATGGATGGATGTTCATTGTGTTATCCTTTCAATTTGAAGTGTTGAACATTTAAAACAATTTAATGGGAAAAAAACAAGTCAATAAGGATAACAGAAAAGTACTAGTATAAAGGAGAACTAAAAAATCTAAAAGGAGAAGACAGATCGAATGAGGTCCAGAGAAGTCAGGACAGAGTGGGACTGACCTCAGGAGGCTGATCCTTTCATTTTCACCAATCAAAGAACTGAAGCCTAACAAGCTATATTAAGTATAGAGATGCCATTAGCTACATGACTTATTGTTAAGTCATTTATGCCATTGAGTGAAAAAGGAAATCAGGTAAAGGGAAAGCTCACCACCAATCTTGTGCCTGGGAGCAGACAGGAAAGCAGTGACACTGGAGAAACACACAGAGGAGAGGTACAGGTATCAGCAAAGGAAAATCTATTATTTGTAGAGTCCTTAAAACCTTGGGAGACCAATTTTAGCATCGAGAAAAGTATTAATAAAATAGGGACCTCTTTTTCCACTAAAAATGTCTTTAAGGTATTAATACTATATGCTATAAGTGTATATAATTACAGTGAAAGAACACTGCCACAAGCACAAATATGTGGGCTTTAAAGATTTCATAAGAGTGATATTACACTAATGGTTCAGATATTTAAATATTTAAGTCATGTTTATATCTTACTGACTTCAGAAACATTCAACATTACTCACCATAGAGGCCTTAAAGGGCACCAGAAATTAACAATAGATAACTATTTCATCAGTCACAGAAAATCAGAATCATTACCAAGAGCAATTTTGTGAAAAGCTTTCGTTTTCATTATCAGTTCAACTAGAATACTCAAAAAGGGAGTTACTGTTGGTGTTTCAATAACATAGTCTTTCCTTTTATTGCCAAGGAAACAAAGAACTGAAAACAGATAACTTAAACAGATGTGAACCAAGACATAGACTGCTAAGTCAGCTCTGGCTACAGTATCAATCTATGCTTATTATCCTTAATGTAGGATGCTCACCCTTAGTTTAATTTTGCTTAAGGAAAAATAAAAACAATCGCTTTTTATGTGTGAGAAGTTAAAAGCTTATGTTATACATTTTTTAAAAAACTAATGAAGGCTACTACTAGAACTTCCATGTAATAAAATTTAAATATAAAGTTAGGATTTTTAAAAATGAAAGCAAATCATTCATAGCATAGAACAAATCTGTCAGGTAAATCAAAAAACTGGTACCCATATATGGCCATGGAAAATATCCTCAAAGTGTTTAAGGAGTTGCATAAAAATAATTTCTGAAGGTTTTTTAAATTTGTTAGAACTGGCATGATTACCATCATCATGCTACTAACATTAGAAACTAAAAACTAAGATGTACATAGGTGTATTTAAGGCTTTTCACATAAAAATATGTAAGATAAACCTATAATAAAATAGTTTTCTAGGTCTTAGTTGCTACAGCAAACTGAGAACAGTTTCTTGGCTATTGCAATTGCTGCTTTGGACAAATGGATATTCTAGACCAGCTCACTTGTAATATGGAAGTTTCATAAGGGCTATACTTGTTTTGTATGTTCAATAAAGGAGGCCTGGGAAAAGGTGAAGACATGAATTATATAAGTAATAGTTTTCATGTAGTAAATTTTAAATTATTATGTATTTTTATACTTACTACATCAAATTGTAACCCTGAATGCTGAAAACGGTTCTTAGCTCAATGCTTTAAATACAGGTGTACCAAGTGTGTTTGTAAAAGCAATAAAGAAATATGACCTCCTAAAACAGACAAACTTAAAGACTATTATGAATATATGTTTGCAGTCAAACAGAACACTCTTTGGTTCCAAATTAGTCTTACAACCAGGCTATATCATTTAGCACTCCATTTACCATTCAGTTTCCATCTCTGCCCTGTCGAAACTTTTTAATGGCCTTTGTGATTAACAGATGCAATGGAAGGTGGCACTTCAAGCGTAGCCCTATTCATACCAGAGAACAGAGAAGACACTATGGTGTCTGGTCCTTCTGCGTTCATTATCTTCCTTGCGTTACATGTGGGAAGAAGGAACTGGTTTTTGTGTTTTGTTTTTAAATAAGCATCTGTCTAGAGTACTGGAAATCTGATAAACTTCTGTTCCAAACCATTGCTGAAGAAAACACAACTCTCCTTTCAGACAACAAATATATACTGATTGATTTCTCACTCTGCCCATTTCACATTATACTACTGCTAGCTGCCTCCTCCCCCTCCTCCAACAAGAACAACAAATCACTAACATCAAGCTTAAACAGCATTTCAGAGAAGCTATATAATGTGACTGTTCACATTTCTGCTAAGAGTAAGAGACTGGAGGCTGGGGTGTGGTGGGGTTGCTCAGTGGCAGAAGGCTTTCCTAACATGTGTGAGTTCCTGGGTTCAATCCCCACTACTGCAAAACATTTAAAATTATAAAAGTTCAGGGTGGGGTGGGACAACACATTAATTCCATAAAGAAAACAATCTGTCTAGCATTTTAGCAATTTAATAAATATTACCTTACCAACTCATCAGCAAAAGCAGTCACACTGAAGGAAATCATGTCACTCACCTGTCTGATAGCAAAAGCCAGAAAGTTCAGAAACTCTAAAATTTTAGTTGAATACTCAAATAACTACAAGTTTACTACAGAGAGAGAATGCATCTGAATCTGGGCAAGTGCAATCAATAAAAGAAAGCATTTCCATTCTTCTCCTGAGCATTATTAAATATCTAGACATAACAGCATAAACCTCTCAGGACAGTGTACAATAAATAAAGCTGAGCCAAATAAAAAAGTCCTCCCCCATGGGTATTTACCATATCAAAGTGCAAATGAAACAGCAAGGAAGGCAGCAGTAGGTTCTTACAACAGGAGCAATTAGTATTCAAACAATGTGTTTGTTTCACTTTATCAGTTTGGCAGTTTTCCTGGGATCTTAATAGGGCCAGACAAATACTACATGCTGTTACATAGATCTTAGTAATCTCAAAATGTTCTTAAGTTAATTTTTTTTCTTGCTTCACAGAGAAAGTCTATGTAAAAGAATTTTCTGCAAAATGTGATAAAAAAGGTATTTTCATTAGGCAAAGCCACTTACCTACTAGCAAGGCTGAGCAATTCATGTTTATCTGCTACAGCTGACTTCTTCTCAAGCTCCCACATTAGGACATTGATCAGATGTGAATTTTTAATTACAATCGGCACTTCTTCAAACATGTGCTCAAAGGTGATATTTGCCTTTTTCAATCTGTGAAGCATGTTAAAAATATTTTAGACTGGTGGTCAGAAATAAATGTTAAATTAACTATTTCATACATTTACCTAAATACAAGCCCTCTTCAAGGATTCATTAATAAGAAAGGCAGCAGGAGCAAAATATATATATATATATATATATATATATCTTGTGTGTGTGTGTATGTGTGTGTGTACACACATGCAGGCATACACACTGCCTGGTTAACAGTCAAGCATAAATCGAGTGAGCTGAGTATTGACATTGAAAACAATCTAATTTTTTAACTGTAAGCCCAGAAAATAAACTGGCAAGGAAACTATTCTTCAAAATCAAGTATCCTTAAACACTTCGTTGATAGTAAAATATAATGTATATAATTATAATGAACTAACAAAATATGTAAATGTCACAGTAAGTTATGCATCTAAAATATTTAAAATAAATATCTAGAAAAGAAAAATATCCTGTTTTTGTAAAGTTTATTTTTTAAGTGTGAAGAACTAAAAAGATTAACAACTAGTTGAAAAGTCACAGGAGACTCCACAAACAACAGTGTAGGAAACGGCTTCTCAGAGTTAGTTGTAACTCCATGTCCAGAAATTGTTCATGAATTACCTTTTCTTCTTAAAACTGTATACCTTAATTTTTTAGGAGCTAAATAAGAAACTACAGATAAACTGTCCTACATGAAGCCATAATCATTAACTTTGATTTCATTTAAAAACAAATTCTACAATTAACAGAAATAATAGATTTTAATATCCAATGGCATTAAGTAGGATCACAGAATAGCTCTATTAGTTGACTCACTGCATACCTGTCACTCACAAAACTTCCAATCAGCCACATTTTTTACTGAATCCTTAAAAATGTTCATATCTTTCCCCCCTGTGAAAGGTGAGCATAGGAAACATGCAGGTTGCACGTAGTCTAATGCAGAGCTTACAGTCTGACAGCCGCTGACCACTCTTTCATCTCCCTTCTATCTTTTACTTCTTCAAATACGATAGCTAATTAATTCCCATTCTAACTGAATTCACCTATGGTGAGAACAACAGATGAGACACTCCATAAAGATTAATCTAAACATGGTAAGGGTGTCTCTCAGCACGCAGAAATCTACAATACGCATGGCAAAGTATTACTGCAGCACAACCAAGCCTTCAATAGATGTGGCAAATTGACGGTTTAAAAGAAAAATACTCAGCCCTTTACCATAAGCCTCTTGGGCCCCCAAACACTTACGCTTCAGGGGAAAAATCCTTCTCTTTACAAACTTCCATTAGTTTAGGAGTCAATCTGTATGCCTTTAAAGAGAGAGAGCCTTGGGCAGTTTTTATAGGATCTCAAAAAAAAGAGAGAGAGAAAATAATTACTGAGGATTCTAATGACATCGGTTCTAGGCACATTCTATTACTTATCACACTGTCTTTGGAAAAATGAAGATCAAAATAAATAATGGCAACACAACCTGAAGCACATTCAAACCATTTCTAGCAAACAGTAAGCGAAGATGCAGTGGTTGTTCTATCCTACTTAAAATCAGTAGAGTAACTTCCTCCCTTAAATAAAAACAGAAGATTCCAAATATAGTTAAGATATTTTGAAATCCCTCATCTAGAACCAGTAATCTTGCTGAAAATGAAACATATCTTATTCTATACATCTTGTATTAACTGGGGAAAATACTAATAAGTATTAAACAACAACAACAACAAAAAAAAATCACTGTATGCACTACTATACTTCCTTAGTCCACGAAAATGAATAGCCCTGCAAACAAAATTTATACAACCTAATAATCAGTGTCCACATTTTTAAATTAAAAGATAGTTAAAAACAAAACCACTACATCAAAGTGCTATCACAAAAGTGTCCTTTTCTAGTTTTAGAAAACGAAGTTTTGTCAAAACTAACTGCTTAAACACTCCATGAGTAAGGGAGCTTAGCACTTGCTGCATGATAATGGCTCTGGCATGCCAATATTCAACTAAAACCTGTGTTAACATTCATGTTGTCTGAAACTTAACACAGTGAAACTTTTAGCAATAGGTGATAAAATGAAAACCAAAATAGATTGAAACAAGTGGAAAATTCATCAAGGTCTGATGATGCAATGTTTCCAGCCAATATAAGTACACTTTAACAACTTGTTCTTTACTGTAATCCAATTGTTAACATACTGAAACAATTTTGGGGCAGCTCATAAGATTGATCGTATTCATTAGTATTTTTTCTGACAGATACTCAGGACGTTACATTTACTTCTCAGCTGGAAACTATATGCAAGTCTGCCAGATATGGCAAACTGTGAGTGTTTGGGGAGGGGGAAGGCTATAAAGCTGTTAAATTGCCTACAGTTCTGATACAGCACAGAACATCTGGTCTGGAGAGCTTGAGGAAACACCATTAAATAGGCCGAAAAGAAAAAAATCTTTGTGCTAAGAAACAGTCCAGGTTTTGTACGCTGCTGTCAGAGGTATAAAAAAAAAACTTGGCACACTGTGTTATGATTGGTCAGTCACGTACAGAGCCAGACACTCCAGCAATCGGGGTTTGTTAGACATCTGGTCTAGTTCCACCAGCCCCTTCAATGAGGGAGGGGAGATGGAGGAATAAAAATGAAGCAGCTACTCCAGCATTCCAAAATGTACACATCAGGGCTCTGATAGCAAGAAAAATAAACAGAAAGAAGGAAACCCTGTCTAGACTTAGCTGCTGCTGAGGCTGCTGCAGAAACAGAGTTGGTATTTACTTGAGAAAGCCTGCCAGGCTGCTCTTAGAAGCATAAAGACAGAAAGTAAAAATAGGAGTAATAATATTAAGGGAAGAAAAGAATAATAAAGGAAACTCCGACTAACCATAAATAAGAACAACAGATTCTTCAATGGCATGTTGGTAACTGAACTGAGAATCCAAAAGCGCCCGGGTGACAAACGAGCCATAGTACGTAGACTGGTACCAGCCCACATGGAGATGATCAATGTTTACATGGCGAAGGCTCCGCATCATTTCCATCTGATACTGGACTAGATGATGAAAAGGAGGGGAATAAAAGAAAAACTTTATGATACCACCAATATTAAAAATAAGCCTAATGGAAACAAATTTCTACATTTATTAGTCATAAGGAACAGGTTTCCAGGGGAAAAGTTATTCGGTTCACACATAAAGAGAACAAAATTAAGCTTTCAAATCATTGGGACTTTCCTTTTTCACTAATGCAAACCAATTTGAAGAAAAAATAGTATTAAAAATACAATATTAATGTCTTGTTCTAAACAAAGAATTACTAAATGTGGTTTACTTGATCTTTTTGAAAAACTGAAAACAGTAAAATGTTTAAGGAAAACAATATATAATTACTAGACTGGCTACTTGTAGGAAGTCTCATCTGGACCAATAGATGAGAATAGTTATCAATAGTTGTCTCTTCTTCAACACACCTTTTGGAACTGTGAACTTAAACCAACAAGAAAACTAAGGAGAAATAATCAACCACCACTTATATATAAACAGCATATAGACTATAGCCGATTTAAAACTAAGAATTCATTTTTGCCTTCATCTGGTGCCCCCTGCTGCATACACTAAATTTAAAAAAGATTTTTTTTTTTTGCCTGTCTTCTTTTGTGTTAGTGACACTACGTTTTCATTAGGATAGAGTTATATTTTAATCATCACATACAAAACAAAAAGATTTAACGATTTTTACTTTCATCAAATCAATGACTATAATGTATATTGTTAAAGTACAAGCTGAACGTGTAACAAATGACATTAAAAAAGCATTACAGCCCAAAAATGCATAACAAATACATAATGAAGAAAAAAGTTTTACAGTCAATATTCAAGCTACTTCAATCATAATGACTGCATGGCCATGTGAAGTAACCATATTTGCTTAATTCTAAACCTAAGCAGCTCACTTTTAAAACTCTTAATCGGGTTTTGGTAAAACTAAAGTTTTATGCCTGGTTCCTTTAGTCAGAGCACTATGACTTTACAAAGCAAACAATAAAAGTACCTTCCTGAGATGCATGATCTTATTTTGCAACACTCACTAGTGGGCCGAGAAATTATAAATCTGTTTATTCCATGATTATATCACTCTTATTTATAAAAAATGGCAGTCAAGTAATCAACTATTTCAAAATTATGTGTTTTTCATTTTTCTTTTTGAAAAATAGGACAAAATTTTAAGCCTATGGCAAAATTGCAACAGAGCTGGAAGGTGTACTACTGTGAAGATGTACACTAGGCAACTGTTTTGAAACCAGCAACTCTGTTTTGAAAGCAAGTCCATTCATTCATAAAAAGGGAAAAGGTATTAAGATAAAGGTAGTTTGCCCCCATTATTTCTCAAGTCGTTCATTTAGGTTATAGGTAAGAGGTGATACTTATACACAAGACATGTTTACATACCAGTGTTTCTGCATATTTATAATTAACACATTGGAAAACAAAGCCTTAAAGCTTATGCTATATTTTAAACCATGATTAAAAACTACAGCCCTACAAATCTAGTTTATAGACAGTATGACAGCCTGAAGCAGTATAAAACTGATGATGATTTACATTAATTCTTTTATCTTATTATTTTATTTCTCTAGCATATAACAGAACTGCTTCTTCCTTCAGCTAGTTTAATAGATTTGTATTAACCACACAAATTGGGACTGAGTTAGAATCATTGCTATGGTCTCCTTCTGTTTTAAAATGTCTAGATTCTCTTAAAGTAAAAATTACAGATTTGGCTAACAAATTTTGTCAAATTTAACTTACAAATGTAAAGTCCCAATATTATAAGTAAAACAGAAGCAGAAACTAAATGCTATTTATCTCAAAGGGAAAGAGGTCAGGAAATGAGGCGAGATTACCAAACAACTAAGAGTACAAATACAATTTTATAGGACAATTTAATTTAAAAAAATCACTACTTGCAACATGTGTTGGTGTGCAATTTGGCTAACATATGCAGAGGGTAGCCTATCAACTTGTAATAGTAGAAAAAAAAGACCTGGAATCTAAAAGTGAAGGAAGGTTCTTGTGCCAGTTTTGACATCCCCTCTGTAGGTATCCTGCTGTCCAATTGATGATTCTCTGATGTTTAGTTTTACCATAGCCAAGGAGAACTTGACAACCCATCCCAGCAAAATGCTGGGATGCCACATTATTTCAGCATTTGGATATGCTAACTATAAACAAGAATTTGTCTACTAGGTAAAACAGGGCCTCTAACATACCTTATGATTTCAATCAAGATACATTTCTCTGAAAAAAAATATTCTGCAATCTTGTTAAGACTTCCTTCAAATAACCTAAATATAACACATTTTATAAGCACATTTCCAGAATACATGAGGGAAAAACAAATGGGGGGGGGGGAGACCTTCCAAGATCTTTCTAGTTATTTCTTCAAATTCTTTCTTATCCAGTGTCTTACCTAATTTTACACACCCTCCAATAAGAACAAGAATGAAAATGAGTATTCTCTAAACCAAGGAGTCAGGAATATGAGGCCTGTATCCCCATGGCTGCTCAAGAAATAAATAAATACAGCTCCAATGTATTTATTTCTGGGAGTTCAGAAATTAGCTTCAGTTCCTGGGAAGAAAGAGGGAAGCATGTACATTTTCTTATTCTATAGCTTAGAAAATGACATGCCAGATTTTAGAAGTTTTTAAACATACTTATTTGTAAGTCATAAGGGTTTTCATATCTTAAATGAACAACAAAATTAAAGAGTTAAGAGCAATGACAGGTTAAGTTAATAAAACTGCTTTTACTCTCCAATGTACTGGAATATCATTATTTTACAACAAAATCTATATTGGGCCTATTCTAGGAGAAGTTTTAGGACATTCTCTATAATGATTTGAACTTTACTACTTTGATAATAAAAATCAACAGATAAGGCAAAATCAGGAAAAATAGTGGCTCTACTAAAAGCTCTGTGTGGAGGACCTAAAAGTCAATCTTAAAAAGGTAGGGAAGGGCTAGGTGTGGTGGCACAAACATGAACCCAACTCAGGAAGCTGAAGCAAGTGGACTACAAGTTCAAGGCCAGCCTCCATAATGTAGTGAGACTGGATCAAAAAAAAAAAAAAAAATTAAAAGGCTGGGGAGTATGGCTTAGCGGTAGAGGGCTCCTGGTTTTAATTACCAACCCTGCCCCCAAAAGGTGAGGACTGGGGTACTGAAGCACCAAAATGAGGCTGGAATGCACTAATGCCCAGTGAGAAACATGCACTATTTGAAAGAAGGTACTTTGATTTTTTTTTTTTTTTAGTGGTATTGTTTACACTCTACATAAGCTAAGGAACAAGAGACAAAACAACAACAACAACAAAAAAAAACCTCACAAACAGCCAGGTGAACTGCTGTATCTCTACAGACTTTGAGGTCTGTGGCTATGTTCTAATGCTGATGCAGATGTGGGGCTCTCATCTCCCTTCACTCAGTTTTTCTTCCTCCTCCCACCCAAATTTTCAGAAAGTACAAAACCAGCTCTTGGAAAACTTTCTTGGTAAAACTAAGTAGTAGTAAGAAATAAGCAGCTGAGTGTCCACTAAACTATACCAAAACTGTGCTCCCAGTAGCCACCACTAATCAACTAAGCTGACCTGCCACACTGACACCTATTTACCCCTCTGGCCTATAGAAGAAATAAAGAAAAAATCATGAATTGGTGACATGCCAATCAGTTTTACACAGTAAATGGAAATGGTCATTCCAGATTTCAATCTCCAAAACCTCTTTGCTTTTGTGGTCTCTTGGAAGTTACATGGTAGTGTAGAGCAGGTAAGGCAATCAGGAGACACAATTTAGACACTTGGGCAAATGAAGGAGCCTATGATTCCTGCAAGTGTCTGTGATGATGATACCATGTCACAGCCCACAGACTCCGGTAAATGTGAGGGAATGTTATCTGCCTTCTCATATCTAGTCAGTATTTACTTTTCTGGCTGGAGTTTAAAGGAGGTTATAAAAGACAGAGATAAGGTTTATCTTATCCAGGGAATGGTTCACACCTCAAAGAAGAGAATCACACCAAAGAAACAAAAAGGAAAAAAAAGAAAAAAAGGGAGACTCCTTAATATAAAGAGCCCGAATTCCTTACTGCTGGATACACACAGGTTAATGAAGAAACAACCATTTATTGGCAACTTTGCAAAAGTTGGTCCAGGATTAGATGGGCTTCCACTTTTGTTCTAAAGTTCTCATATTTAACAGAAGCCAAAGTGACAATTCAGCCAATGACATTCATTTCTTGAGTTAATCATTAAATATCCTGGGGAATTTCCCAAAGACAAATGGCAAGGGAGAAATCCTTTTGGAGAGGGGACTATTTTTAAATTTATAATAATGTTCAACAGAAAGGCTTACCATCTTGTAATGAAAAGTTAGGAAAGAACCTTTTAAACATTTTTAGTTTAAAAAGCAAACGCCCTACCAACTTAGAAGAAGCAGCAAGTAGCAAATGAATTATAAAGACAAATTGGCAGTTACTACCAAGCCAGCTCAAATTACTGATACAAAAGCTACACTTAGATGCAATTGAGGTGACACTACAAAATTTGGAAGGATTATAAAAATGAGCTAAAATTTTATAAATCTTTTCAACCTCTACAATTGTTTTAATAGGCTAAGCCTCTCCCTAGCAAAGGAGAGACTGGTTTAAAACAGTAAATGACTGTCTGAAGTCTGGCACCAATATATTCATATTCACTTTTTCCAGTATCTTCTTTGCAAAATGGTCAAATTTAAAGTGCCTAGAGCTAAAACTGTCTTAACTGAGGCAGACTGCCCAATAACTATTCTTTTCAAAAACCCACCACATTTGTTGGGCTTTCTCTTGTTTTATCTTCAAATATGCAAACACTGAAAAATAATATGTTTTCTTACATTTAAATGCTGTTTCTGGAGCTACAGTGGCAATCAACCAAACTAGAGTATGAGTCTGCAATGCTCCTGAATATCACTGGGAATGACAAATGAATTTGAAATTTTTCAGTTCAGAATAACG